GGAGAGGGAGGAAGAGGGAGAGGGAGAGGAGGAGAGGGACGGAGAGGAGGGAAAAGGAGGGGAGGGAGGGAGAGGGAGAGAGAAAGTAAGGAGTATGAGAGAAAGAAAGAGAAAGATAAGTGCATGAAGAGAGAGAGAGAGAAAGGTAAAGAGTATGAGAGGGAGAGAGAGAGAAAGGTAAAGAGTATGAGAGGGAGAGGGAGAGAAGGAGAGGGAGGAAGAGGGAGAGGGAGAGAAGGAGAAGGACGGAGAGAAGGGAAAAGGAGGGAGGGAGGGGAGAGGGAGAGAGAAAGGTAAGGAGTATAGAGGAAAGAAAGAGAAAGATAAAGTGCATGAAAGAGAGAGAGAGAGAAAGGTAAAGAGTATGAGAGGGAGAGAGAGAGAAAGGTAAAGAGTATGAGAGGGAGAGAGAGAGAAAGGAAATGGGTAAAAGGTATGAGAGAGAGAAAAAAAAGTAAAGAATATCAGAGAGAGAGAAAGAGGAAAGAAAAGAGCGAGAGAGAGAGAGAGAGAGAGAGAGAGAAGAGAGAGAGAGAGAGAGAGAGAGAGAGAGAGAGAGAGAGAAAGAAAGAAAGAAGATGAGAGAGACAGAGAGCAAGAGAAAGAGAAGAAAGAAAGAAAGTAGAAGAAAGAGAAAGAGAGAGGAAGAGAAAGATAGAAAGAAAGAGAAAGAGAGAAGAGAAGAGAAAGAGAGAAGAAAGAGAAAGAAGAAGAGAGGAAGAGAAAGAGAAGAGGGAAGAGAAAGATAGAAAGAAAGAGAAAGAGAGAGAGAAGAGAAAAGATAGAAAGAAAGAGAAAGAGAAGAGGAAGAGAAAGATAGAAAGAAAAGAAAGAAGAGAGAGAGGAAGAGAAAACCCATCCGCCAGCCTGGTATCGCATTTAGTTACGATGTTTACAAGGACCGAGTCGCCGTCAGCATCACGTGGGGGGGGGGGGGGGGGGGTGCGGAGCCTGCGTTGGCCTCGCGGTCTCTCTCTCGTCAGCAGTTTTGGCGCCATTTTTAAAAATCTCGGCGTGGGAACGGCCGTGTGCCAACTACGTTTCTTCATACAATTATCCATCTCTTCTTCATAACAATTTATCCATTTCTCTCTTCGTTTTTTTCTTCATAACAATTTATCCATTTCTCTCTTCGTTTTTTTCTTCATAACAATTTATCCATTTCTCTCCGTTTTTTTTTTTTTTTTTTATTGCTGGGCTTGGTAATTGGGGGTTTTGGCGTTGTTTATATGGGCTGAGAAATGTTTTTCTTTTTTTTTCTTTTTTCGGTAGATGTCTGAGAAAATGGGAAGGTTGGGTGGCTAGGTTAAAGATTTTTTTTTTTTTTTTTAGTTATTTTATTTTTTTATTTTTGTCTTTTTTTTGTCTTTTTTTGAGGAATATGAAGAGTTGAAACGAAAGAAAAGCATAAAATGACTGATAATAAAACGTATTTCTTATGGAATACTAGAATACAATCTGATGCTCCTAAACACATTTTTTTTTAAAGAAAGGAAAGCATAAAATAACTGATAACAAAACATATTTCTTATGGAATACTAGAATACAATCTAGTGCTCATAGATACAACCGTTTTATAGAAAAACTAGTGTTGATATCGTCATCAAATGAGACAGTATTGGACAGCAAGGTTAGATTCGGGGAGACAGCGGCCACGTGTCAAGTAGATCAGCTGTCTACTCGCGGGCTTGAAGTAGTGTTTTTGGTCGAAAATGAATGGAAAATTGATGTGAAACGTATAGAATAGAAACTATGGATTTTCAGCCATTACTGAATAGTTTTTGCTTATTTTTTGTTGTTATTGTTATCGTGTTTATTTTGTTCTAATTTATTTATTTATTTATATTATATTATATTATATCATTATTGTTATTATTATTGTTATTGTTATTATTATTATTATTTTACTATTATTATCATTATTATTATTATTATTATTATTATTATTATTATTATTATTATATTATTATTATTATTATTATTATTATTGTTAGTATTATCGTTATTATTATTGTTATTATTATTATTGATATGTATATTTTTTGCATAATTGTATGTTTTTGGAGTATCTTATTATTTGTGGCTTCGCTAATATAGTTTATTCATTATTATTCAGAGAAATATATTCTAGAAAACCACAAGTTTTTAAGCCACTACCTAAACTTTTTTTTTCCTTTTTTTCATAACAAAAAAAAATCAATAACACTCATGAAAAATAACATTATCCTTTCAAAAAGACCAACAACATCCATACAAAGCCCCCCCCACACTTCCACCCCCCCCTCCTCACTCACTCACCGCCCCACCCCACTCCAACCCCCCTCACCTCACCTCACCCCCACAACTCCAGCGCCCCCCCCCCACCACCCTCACCCACACTCCATCCCTAGACTCCACGCCCGAAATAATACTATTATAGCTACCCCCCCCCCAAAAAAAAAAAAAAAAAAAAAAAAAAAAAAAAAAAAAGCCCAAAGAGCCAGATCTCGTTGCCCCGTCCGAGAAGTGGGGTCTTGGTCTCTTGGAGCACTTTCTTCCCCGGCTCGAGACACGCGTTGGGGCTTCAGGGACTTCCTCCTCCCTCCTCCTCCTTGGGGCGTGAGGAGGAGAGGAGAGGCGAGGTCAATGCCCCTTCGTGGAGTGGGGATTGGGAGGGGGAGGGGGAGAAGGGAGGGGAGGGGGAGGTAGGAAGGTAAGGGGAAGGGAGGAAGGGGAAGGAGGTAGGAAGGGAGGGGAGGGGGAGGACGGGATGAGGGAGGGAGGAGGGGGCGAAAGAAGGGAGGGGGGAGGGAGAAGAAGGGGAAGGGGCATGTGAGGGGAAGAGGAGGAGGAAGAAGGGGAAGGATCGAGGGGCAGGAGGGAGAGGGGAGGAAGTGGATAGGAGAGGAGGAAAAAAGGGGGGTTTAGAAGGAAGGGCGAAGGAGAGAGCGAAGGAGGGAGATGAAGAGGAAGTAGGAGGGCGAGCGATGGATAGGGAGGGAGAGGAGGGGCAAGAGGGAGGGAGGGAGGAAGTGCAAGAGGGAGGGAAGGGGGGGGGAAGGGAGGGAAGGGGTAGGGGGAGGGGAGGGAAAGGGAGGGAAAGGGTAGGGGTAGGGGGGAAGGGAGGGAAGGGGAGGAGAAGGAGAGGTAGAGAGGGTTAAGGATCTGGTCTATTTAAAAGGAAGAAGGGTGGGGGTAGGAGAGGATGGGGGGGGGGGGGGGGGGCTTGGATAAGGTGTAAACTTTGTAGTCTTTGGGGTTTGGGATTCTCTTTAAAGGAATTGGCTAATGTTTAGGGAAAATGTTGTAAATTATGGATTTTGCTTTTCTTTTTTTTTAGCTTGTGTGTGTTTTTTTCTTTTTTTTTTCTTTTCTTTCATCTTTCTCCTTCTGCGTCTCTCCTTCTTCTTCTCATAGTTCTTCGTCATATCCTCTTCCTCCTTCTTTTTCTTCTCCTTCTTCTGCTCTTCCCCTCCTTCTTCCTTTTATCCTCCTCTCCTCTTCCTCTTCTTCCTCCTCCTTCTTATCCCCATCTCCCCACTCCCCCCCCCTCTTCTTCTTCTTTCTTCTTCTTCCTTTTCCCCTCCCCCTTCCCCTTCCTTCTCCCCTCGCCTCCCCTGTTTCTATCCATCCCTCCCCGTCCTCCACCTTTTCCTCTCCTCGCTCCTCGCTTCCTCCTCCTCCTCCTCCTCCTTCCTCCTCCTCCCTCCTTTCCCCCTCCTCCTCCTCCTCTCCGCCCTTCAGCCGATGTTGCAAAATAAGAACCACAGCCGTAAGCTTACTTGCCACAACGTTGCTCCAACATATGATAGATCGACTTTGCTTTCATGCGAGAGTCATTCGTGAGAGATAAGGACCCTCCTCCTCCCCCACCCCCCCTCTCCCGCCTCTCCTCCCTCTCCCTCTCCCGGCCTTTTCTCCTCTCTGGCTCTCTCGCCTCCTCCCCCTCCCCTTCTTGCCTCCCTCTCCTCTCCTCTCCTCTCCCCCCTCTCCTCTCTTCTCTCCCCCTCCCCGTCCCCTCCCTCCCTCTCTCGCCACAGCCCTCCCCCCTCCCTCATTTCGCCTCCTCCCCCCGCCTCCTCACTCCCTCTCCCCCTACTCTCCCCTCGCCCTTCCTTCCCTCTCCTCTCTCGCCAACAGCCTCCGTCTGCCCTCCCCCTCCCTCTCCCTGCTCCCTTCCCCTCCCCCTCCTTTCCTCCCTCTCCCTCTCCCCCTCCCTCTCCCGCCTGTCCCCTCCCTCCCTTTCCCTCTTCCTCTCCCGCCTCCTCCGCCCCCCCCCCCTCCCCTCCCTTACCTCTTACCCTTCCCTGTTACCCTGAGGTAGATATTTACTAAAAAACTTCTATTATTATTATTATTATTATTATTATTATTATTATTATTATTATTATTATTATTTATTATTATTATTATTATGAGATACAGGATTTGATAATGTTGAATATTCTTTTTGTATTGATTTTACACCGACTTTTTAACTGAATTAGAAATAATGATAAAGTCTTTATCACTTTGTATTTCCGGTTAGTGTGTCATGTTACGAAACACACGACACAAAGTCATTTTAATATGACATTTCTAAACTTTCTTACTCTCTCTTCTCACTAATTAAAAAGTGTAAAATCCGTGAACACATTTTCAAATTTTATCTTTCGAATATAAACTCTCTCTTTCTTTCATTCTTTCTCTTTCTCTCTATCTTTTGTCTCTCTTTTCTCTCTCTCTTCTCTCTCTCTCTTCTTCTTGTCTGTCTGTCTGTCTGTCTGTCTGTCTGGTCTGTCTGTCTCTCGTCTCTCTCTTCTCTCTCTCTCTCTCTCTCTCTCTCTCTCTCTCTCTCTCTCTCTCTCTCTCTCTCTCTCTCTCTGCTCTCTCTCTCTCTCTCTCTCTCCTTTCTTTCTCAATCCTCCTCTTTCACACCCTTCTCCCTCCCTCCTTCTCTCCCTCTGCTCTCCATTAAAACCCACCTTTTCTTTCTCTTCTTTACACTTCCCCCCCATTATCCCATTTCCCCTTTTCCACAGAGAGAATAATGAGCAGAAATTCGAGGTCAGCACCAGCGTGGCCAGCCAAGGCAAGGTCACGTTCTACCTCACTTACGAGGAGCTTCTAAGGCGGGTCAACGGCCGGTACCTCCACACGGTGCAAGTGCGGCCGGGTCAGGTGAGTGCTTTGGGGTGTTGATGTTGGGTGTGTTGTTGTTGTGTGTGTGTTGTTGTTGATGTGTTGTTTTGTGGTGTTGATGTTGGGGTGTAGTTGTTGTTTGCTTGTTGGTTGTTGATGTGTGATTGGTATTGTTTTGTTGTTTTTTGTTGGTGTTATTTTGGTGTTGCTGTTGTTGTTGATGTGTGATGTTGTTGTTGTGTTTTTGTGGGTGTGATGTTGGGTTGTTGTGTTGTTGTTGTATTGATGTTGTTATTTTTATTGGTTATTATTGTTATTATTATTATAATTATTGATGTATGATTATTATTATTATTATTATTATTAATTATTATTATTTTTTATTATGATCTCTCCTCTTCTCTCTTTCTCTGTTTTTTCTCCTCTCTCTCTCTAACTCCATCCTTCGATCTAATTAAATTATGTATTTCTGATGAAGATATAATTGGAACCGGCCAGATACATCGCAAATAATACATTCGCTTTCATGTCTCTCTCTCTCTCTCTCCTGCTCTCCTCTCTCTCGTCATTCTCTCTCCATCGTCTCGTCTCCTCGTCTCGTCTCTCATCTCTCAGTCTCTCTCTCTCTCATCTCTCATC